GCTGAGGTTGTTCTTGGAGTCGAGGCACACAACAGAGAACCCAAATTACTAAGCAGCACCTTTGGGGATAGTGCTACACAATGTTTCCCTTCTATTTCTCACAATTTACTATCCGATACTGCCCATTATCTGGAAAAACCAATTGGGAAGTAGAAGGGGATGAGATAATCAACTTGAACGAGTCAGCTTGAATGTGACCAATGCTGAAGACGTTGCAGAATGAGTAGTGAAAGGCCCTCAAAATTACAAAACAAATCCAGTTGGATGAATCTAACTACTATTATCTTTACTTATAAGATCTGGATAAATGAGAACTTTCTCAAAGAGACCTGGAGCAAACCTGGAACATTTCCCAAAAGTAAACAGATTACCCAACTCATTTTTCCGATACAGTCTGCTAATTGCCTGAGGCAACACTCCATCTTTGCTGTTGTTTCTTTGCTCCGGTTTTTATAACTAACGCGTGTTATGAGAAAGGCTTTGATGTACATTTATGAAAGTTCCAAAAGACAAAGGAGTAAAGAGCAGTGAAGTTTGAGAAAAAAAAAAACATTCACATAAACGTACTTACCAGGCACCTTTTTCCTACTTTTACCATATGGAGAACTGCCTCAGGTGAAACTCGAAAAATTAGAATATCGTGCAAAAGTTCATTTATTTCAGTGCAGCAACTTAAAAGGTGAAACTAATATCTGAGATAGACTCATTACATGCAAAGCAAGATAGTTCAAGCCGTGATTTGTCATCATTGTGATGATTATGGCTTACAGCTCATGAAAACCCCAAAACCTCAATCTCAGAAAATGAGAATATTGTGAAAAGGTGGAATATTCTCGGCTCAAAGTGTCCCACTCTAATCAGCTAATTCAGCCATAACACCTGCAAAGGGTTCCTGAGCCTTTAAATGGTCTCTCAGTCTGGTTCAGTAGGAATCACAATCATGGGAAAGACTGCTGACCTGACACCATCATTGACACCCTCCATAAGGAAGGAAAGCCTCAAAAGGTAATTGCAAAAGAAGTTGGATGTTCCCAAAGTTCTGTATCAAAGCACATTAATAGAAAGTTATGTGGAAGGGAAAAGTGTGGAAGAAAAAGGTGCACAAGCAGCAGGGATGACCGCAGCCTGGAGAGGATTGTCAGGAAAAGGCCATTCAAAAGTGTTGTGGACTTTTACAAGGAGTGGACTGAGGCTGGAGTCAGTGCATCAAGAGCCACCACACACAGACGGATCCTGAACATGAGGCTTCAAATGTCGTATTCCTCTTGTCAAGCCGCTCCTGAACAAAAAACAACGTCAGAAGCGTCTTACCTGGGCTAAAGAAAAACAGACCTGGTCTGTTGCTCAGTGGTCCAAAGTCCTCTTTTCTGATGAGAGCAACTTTTGCATCTCATTTGGAAACCAAGGACCCCGAGTATGGAGGAAGAATGGAGAGGCACAAGGACCCCGAGTATGGAGGAAGAATGGAGAGGCCCAAGGACCCCGAGTATGGAGGAAGAATGGAGAGGCACAAGGACCCCGAGTATGGAGGAAGAATGGAGAGGCACAAGGACCCCGAGTATGGAGGAAGAATGGAGAGGCCCAAGGACCCCGAGTATGGAAGAAGAATGGAGAGGCACAAGGACCCCGAGTATGGAGAATGGAAAGGAAGTATGGAGAGGCCCAAGGACCCCGAGTACGGAGGAAGAATGGAGAGGCCCAAGGACCCCGAGTATGGAGGAAGAATGGAGAGGCCCAAGGACCCCGAGTATGGAGGAAGAATGGAGAGGCCCAAGGACCCCGAGTATGGAGGAAGAATGGAGAGGCCCAAGGACCCCGAGTATGGAGGAAGAATGGAGAGGCACACACTGCAAGATGCTGGAAGTCCAGTGTGAAATTTCCACAGTCTGTGTTGATTTGGGGAGCCATGTCATCTGCTGGTGTTTGTCCACTGTGCTTCATTAAGTCCAGGGTCAACGCAGCCGTCTACCAGGAGATTTTGGAGCACTTCATGCTTCCTTCCACAGACGAGCTTTATGGGGATGCTGACTTCATTTTCCAGCAGGACTTGGCACCGCCCACACTGCCAAAAGCACCAAAACCTGGTTCAGTGACCGTGGGATTATTGTGGTTGATTGGCCACCAAACTCACCTGACCTGAACCCCTTAGAGAATCTATGGGGCATTGCCAAGAGAAAGATGAGAGACATGAGACCGAACAATGCAGAAGAGCTGAAGGCCGCTATTGAAGCATCCTGGTCTTCCATAACACCTCAGCAATGCCACAGGCTGATTGCTTCCATGCCACGCCGCATTGAAGCAGTAATTGCTGCAAAAGGGGGCCAAACAAAGTACTTTTAAGTTGCTGCACTGAAATAAATGAACTTTTGCACGATATTCAAATTTTTCAAGTTTCACCTGTATATGTCCTAGTTTACCTTGTCTGACTTAATATTTAACAAATGTGCATTTGGGTTGTAATAAGAGAACATAATACACTTTTTTAATAACAAATTTGTATTTAATGGCACATAAAATACATCAAAGGCAGGTGCAATCAAGAATATATACAAAATGTATGACCTTTGTCTGGAAAACAGAACTGCAGGTGGTATATCCATATAGGAAAAAAAAAAACCCTTTTATAACCACCCACCCCAATCCCCAAGAATACAGTTAAGATAATTCATCATCCAAATACCTTTTCTAGCAATTTTTAAGAGGTGTGAAATAATTGTAACCAAGAAAATGCCCTTGAAGCAGTGGGTGTCTGCCAGTAATATTTCAGTCCATATCCATTGTAGAAGACCTTTACCATCCACATAAAACCCAACATAATCACCGTCGGGAGATGCCAAACACATGGGAAGCCTGGGGAAGCACAATTAGGCAGAGCCAGTGGATTAGCAGCTGGACCATGATCTGCAGAGACCACATGATTATGTCCTTGGCAATGGTCATGTGTCTTACCGTCGTAAGAGAGAAGTTGTCGGGTTCAAGCATTAAGGTATTTGAGGATTCCTTTGACTGTTCTTTATGATGTTTCAGACAGTGACACTTTCAAGATAAGAATTCATTGACTTGTCTCTCAGCCAGGGGTGGACTGACCATTCAGCACTTGGGCACTGCCCGAGGGCCGAGGTCAGTAGGGGGCCCCATGAGATGCCCCTGGTACCTTTCATAGGCTTTTTTGGGTGTGGTTTGAGTGTGGGGGAGGACACAGGGGCCCCACGATCCCCTATTGTCCAGGGGCCCCATGAGTTGTCAGTCCTCCCCTGCTCTCAGCTCAACTATTGCAACATCCTGCTCATTGGTGTACCTCTGATATCGGACTCCTCCACCTTACCAACCATTAAATGTCTGCTTCCCTCTCTACCAATCTCTCCACTAACTTCCAATCACAGAATGTATAAAATTCAAAGTCTTACCAACAATAAATAAAGCCATCCACAACGCTGCCCCAGGCATATCACTAACCCTATCTCGAAATATCAACCAAATCATCCTGTTCATTCCCCCCAAGAACTTCTTCTTTCAAGCTCCCCCATCACCTCTTCTCATGCTTGCATCCAGGATTTCTAAAGAGCCTCTTCCCTGCTATGGAACTTCCAACCTCAGCTTGTCCAGCTATCTCCTACTTTGTCGATCTCTACAAATTCATCTCTTCAGGGAAGTCTATACCTCCTCCACCTAACAACTGGAATTTTGATCCTCAAACAACAGACTCCCATATAGTTATTTCCTTTAGTTTCACTTGCCCTTCCTTCGTAGACTGTAAGCTCTTGTGAGCAGGGCCCTCCTAACCCTCTCCTACTGTCTCCCTTTATTTTGTAAAGCATGGTGCAAAATGTTGGCGCTCTATATATCTTGTATAATAATTTTTGTGGACAGTCCACCTTAAAACAGATTTGGAATTAAAATGCAGGACTGTGCTTATGTTGCAGCCCTCACCTCTGAATTGAAAACACTCAGTGAAAGAAATGAAGAGCAAAACATTGGAGGAAAAAATGTAAAACCTTACAACTTGACTTTTGGTGCACTCGCCTTGTCAAGGTGGACCTTACTGGGGCTTCTTGTGGGATTCTGGGAAAGCTAAGGACCTCATATCGTGCAAGATTGCACTCCTAAACAATCCTGGAGCAGGGGCGGATTGATCATTTGGAAACTCGGGCACTGCCCGAGGACCCGGGGTCAGTAGGGGGCCCCGTGAGATGCCCCTGGTACCTTTTTCATAGGCTTTTTTGAGTTTGGGCAAGGACACAGGAGCCCCATGATCCCCTATTGCCAGGGGGCCCCATGACTTGTCAGTCCGCCCCTGTCCTGGAGTTTTTTTTTCTCCCAGGATTTGGGCTCCCCAGCTATCCCAGACTCTTGCAAGGAGGCCCAATGACGTCACCAACATCTAGGCCAGTGCACCAAAAGTTGGGGTATGGGGTAAGTATTATTTTTTTAACATTTTTCTTCTATATTTTTTTTAATTATTATTTTCACTGAGCATTGCATTTTTGGGGGTGCAACATAAGTGGACTTTGCATTTTTGTGTAAGGTCTGCTTTTGTTTGTATAGTTTAAGCATCCTGAGACAATGAATGCATGGACTTGAAGCTTTACTGCTGCATTATATATATGTACATAGACAACCCAACTTAAACCTCTAGTAATATTTTCACAGACCTTTAAAAAGTCACAAAGATTGTAGAAGGCCCAAGACAATACTGACTAGTGTAATAACGATTACTCAGCTTGAAGCTAAATACCTGAACTGGATTTTTTATAAAAAAAAAAAGGAACAGATAAAAAAATAAAGAAAAAACTGAACTGTAATTGGAAACGCAGATCAATACCAAGGTCAACTGGTCTGCTATTTACATTGTGGGAAGGGGACAATTCTGCACATCCATTAAGCAACTAAGATTATACAGCACATTTCTAAGGTCTAAAACGTGGGGATTATCCTCCATCTTGTTCTTTGCCAGTCGCAGCCCAAGCAAATATTTTTAGTCCTGTGTTGGCTGCAGTTATTTAGATTCTCTCTTTGTGTTTCACGTTGGCCAACTTGACATTTTCTTGTTCGGTCGACTCGGGTGGGGGTTCCAGGTGACAGCCAATCATCAGCTGGTAGACCAAGACTCCGGCAAAGGAACCCAGTAAAGGTGACACTATGGGGACCCACCACCACTGATCACCGGCCCTGGAAATAGAGATAAGTTTTTAAAAAATTATGTTTGGAGGGAATGTGCAACATCATAGCAAAAAAGTAACAGGGATTTAAAGTAGACCTTGTATTTTGAACATCTGAACTCCAGGCACACAGTAGAAACATTTATGTGTACATTTTCTACCAGTCAAGAAATTAGCGATTGCAATTCCAAAAAAGCTACATGTTTTGTACAAAAAAAGGTCATCAAGGTATAATTCACAGTTCAGATATAGTTTATCATAGTCATCGTTTAAAGTTACCCATTGTGTTTTGGAGAGTCCAATGGGTCCCCTTTGTCTGGTCTTCATGAAGGTCTTCATCGGGGCTTAAAGTCTGATTTGGTCACTGGTTTAGTGAACGTGGTTCTAGTTTGCTAAACCATTGACTGGAGAAGACCTTATGCTGTATTCAAACCCTGATAGTTAGCCTATTGGGGCTTCCACAGCATGTTTATGGTGCCTAAACTTTATCTGGACTGTCAACGATACCTTGGCACTCTCTTTTCATGCATACCTTGTCACTCTGAGGGCCAAGTCAGGACACTTAATGCCTCGCAATACACCACACTGGAATAATTACCCATACTGGGGTCCAGCCCACCACCACATCACCTTCTCATCCCACTGCCAATCCAGACAGGAGATGCCAAAATATATTATTATACAGTATTATTATTATACAGTATTTATATAGCACCAAAGGTTTGCTCAGCACTGTACATTGTAGTGAGGGACAGAACATGAGACAATACAGTAACAAAACAATACACGAGGGGTTTGAGGGCCCTGGTCTTTCGAGCTTACAATCTAGGAGGGACGGGATAGAGGTACAGGAGGAAGTGGCTGTAGGGGATGGAGTGGTAGGAGGAGTGGAGGAGATCGGCTGTTAAGTGAGGGTGGGGTAGGCTTCCCTGAAGAGATGGGTTTTCAGGGTGCGCCCTAAAGGTGAGGAGGGTAGGTGACAGTCTGATGGCTTGGGGTAGTGAGTTCCAGAGGATGGGGGAAGTCCTGGAGAAGTCCTGCAGTTGGGCATGGGAGGAGGAGACCAGGGAGCTAGAAAGTAGGAGGTCTTGTGAGGAGCGGAGAGTACAGGTTTGGTGGTAATTTGGGTATCAGGTCAGTGAGGTAGTTTGGGGCAGTGTTATGAATGGCTTTGTATGTCAGTGTTAGTATTTTGAATTTAATGCGTTGGGCAATCGGAAGCCAGTGGAGGGAATGACAGAGGGGGGTGGCAGAAGCGGAGCGGTTGGTAAGGTGGATGAGTCTGGCCGCTGAGTACAGGATAGACTGAATCGGGGATAGTCTGTGTTTGGGTAGGCCGGTGAGAAGGGAGTTGCAGTAGTCCAGACGTGAGATAATAAGGGAGTGAATGAGTTGTTTAGTAGTGTCTGGGGTTAGGAACGAACGTATTTTGGAGATTTTGAGGAGGTGGAGCCTACATGAGTTTGCCAGCAATTGGACATGGGGTTGGAAGGACAGGTTTGAGTCTAGAGTGATACCTAGGACTTTGGCTTGTGGGGTGGGACTGATGGTGGCGTTGTTGGTCATGGAGAGGATGGGGGGGGGGGGCACGGGCTGGGGGGAAAATTAGGAGCTCGGTTTTGGAAAGGTTCAATTTGAGGAAATGGAGCGACATCCAGTCTGATATGTCGTTCAGTAGGTGGGCGATACAGGGGAGATTGAAGGGGTGAGGTGAGGGGTGGAGAGGTAAATTTGTATGTCATCGGCGTAGAGGTGATAGTTGAAGCCGTGGGAGTGTATCAGTTTGCCGAGGGAGAGGGTGTAGATGGAGAAGAAAAGGGGCCCGAGGACAGAGCCCTGGGTGACCCCAACAGAGAGGGGGAGTGAGGGGGAGGTGCCAGCGTTATAGGTAACACTGAAGCAGCGTTGTGATAGGTAGGAGGAGAGCCAAGAGAGAGCAGTCTCTGATGCCGAGGGAGTGTAGTTTATTAAGGAGGATGGGGTGGACAACTGTGTCGAAGGCCAAGGTCAAGGAATAGGAGGACTGAGTAGTGGCCATTAGCTTTGGCGGTTAGCAGGTCATTAGTGATTTTGAGTAGGACGGTTTCGGTGGAGTGTAGGGGACGGAAGCCAGACTGTAGTGGATCGAGGAGGTTGTTGTCAGTGAGGTGGGAGCTTAGGCGATTGTAGACTATATATATTTACTACCACCTGCCTTTTCACTGAACCCTTTGTCAAGTTTGTGTTGTTGTTGTTGTTGTCTTTGCCCTAGCTGGGGAAGTTCACCCCTCTATTTGTGCTAATGACCACTGCCACAGAAAAAAAAATGGCAAGAAACCCAAACATTTTGAGTTGTCATCAGAACAAGTAAGGGAGACCCTCCAATATGGTCCTATATTCCATGACAACTCTCCAAGATTAGAATTCTATTCACTTTGTTTCACTTCCAGTTGCATTGCATCTTCTGGACAGGACGTAAAGCCCAGTACACACAATCACCAGAAATGAAACCAAGGTCATTTTTACATATATTAGTCAGTTGATAACACTGAGTGAGCTATGTAGAGAATATTTTTAGTATATCACGTTGACATGCAAGATCTGCTTTAACAAGCAGATAATATTCATATTGCAACCATGACAACAGGAAAATTAACATAGATTTAGAGGTTTGTTATCCTAATATTTTATGCCTGATGTCTTTATCATACTCATAGACATGTGATGATGAGTTTTAGTTGGACTTTGCTATAGTTATTGTGTATATGGGTACACGTTTCTCATCCATTACACAAGATACCTCATAGTCCATAGCTCAGTAAGGGCTTCTTAGCACAGAAAACATTCACATATCAAATTAAAAAGAAGAACTGTATACTTACCAGAAGACTTCTGAACCCCATCCAGCTATAGCTGTGAACAGGCGTGGTCCGAAGTCCCTGGCAGGGTTGACAGCATATCCAGAGTTGAAGCCCATGGACAATCCAATGACAAGGACAACAAAGCCAACAGTGAAGGCTTCCAAACCACGGGGGATGGGGTTATTGAAAGGGTCAACGATGGCCAAGACACAGAGCACCAAAGCAGCGGTACCAATAAACTGAAAAATACAATTAAAAAATAGAAAATGGTCATTGTACAGCTTTAAACAAAAGTCAGGACTGGAATTAAAAGTTCATCATGATGAACATCTAGGTCTTCAAGTCAGAAGTCAATCTTTATTATATGGAGGAACCTTTGAAATAACTTTCAGGAACCCCTGCTAATAATTACTAAACACTCATGGCCACTTTATTAGGTACACCTTGCCAGTGCCAAGAAACTTTCCCCCACACCATGACACCCCCACCAGACTGAACCGTTGATACAAGGCAGGATGGATCCATGCATTCATATTGGTTACGTCAAATTCTGACCCTACCATCTGAATGTCGCAGCAACCAGTCTGCCCATTCTCCTCTGACATCAAAAAGACATTTTCGTCCACACAACTGAGGCTCTCTGGATATTTTCTCTTTTTCAGGCCATTTTCTGTAAACCCTAGAGATGGTTGTGCGTGAGAATCCCAGTAGATAAGCAGTTTTTTAAATACTTGGACCAGCCCGTCTGGCATCAACAACAAAGCCATGTTCAAAGTCACTTAAATCCCCTTTCTTCCCTATTTTTAAGCTTGATTTGAACTTCAGCATGTTGTCTTCACCACGTCTAGATGCCTAAATGCATTAAGTTGCTGTCATGTGATTGGCTGATTAGCAGTTTGTGTTACCAAGCATACCTTTTAAAGTGGCCGCTGACGATAGCGGCCACGATAGCGGGAACAGTAATCTGAGTTAGTATATTTAACACTCAGAGCTGTTCTATATGACAAAATTTATTTTAGTATATATTGAAATTAAATGAATAATGATAATGATAGAAACACAGACATTGAAAATTGGAGTGTTTTTACAACTGGTGGCCAATAGAGAAATGCTCTTTTATACTGAAGCTCACTGGAAAAGTTCCCCCCCATTATTCTGGTGGCCAGTGAAGGCCCCCTTTAAATTGTTTGTCAGTGAAATGTTCCTTTTCACTGGTGGTATGTGGGGAAAAGGGTCCCGCCACTGCTGGTCAGTAGAAGAAGGCCACCATTACAATGGTCATCAGTGGGAAGAATGTTATTTACATTGGTGGTCTTTGGTCAATGGGCCAGTGAAGGCCCCCCTTTAAATTGTTTGTCAGAGAAATGTTCCTTTTACTGGTGGTATGTGGGGAAAAGGGTCCCGCCACTGCTGGTCAGTAGAAGAAGGCCACCATTACAATGGTCATCAGTGGGAAGAATGTTATTAACATTGGCGGTCTTTGGTCAATGGGCCAGTGAAGACCCCCCTTTAAATTGTTTGTCAGTGAAATGTTCCTTTTCACTGGTGGTATGTGGGGAAAAGGGTCCCGCCACTGCTGGTCAGTAGAAGAAGGCCACCATTACAATGGTCATCAGTGGGAAGAATGTTATTTACATTGGTGGTCTTTGGTCAATGGGATAGTGAAGACCCCCCTTTAAATTGTTTGTCAGTGAAATGTTCCTTTTCACTGGTGGTATGTGGGGAAAAGGGTCCCGCCACTGTTGGTCAGTAGAAGAAGACCACCAATACAATGATCATCAGTGGGAAGAATGCTATTTACATTGGTGGTCTTTGGTCAATGGGCCAGTGAAGGCCCCCCTTTAAATTGTGTGTCAGTGAAATGTCCTTTTCACTGGTGGTATGTGGGGAAAAGGGTCCCGCCACTGCTGGTCAGTAGAAGAAGGCCACCAATACAATGGTCATCAGTGGGAAGAGTGTTATTTACATTGGTGGTATTTGGTCAATGGGCCAGTGAAGGTGCCCCTTTAAATTGTTTGTCAGTGAAATGTTCCTTTTCACTGGTGGTATGTGGAGAAGAGGGTCCCGCCACTGCTGGTCAGTAGAAGAAGGCCACCATTACAATGGTCATCAGTGGGAAGAATGTTATTTACATTGGTGGTCTTTAGTCAATGGGAAGAATGCTCCCCTTAAAGGCAATTGGTGGTCAGTGGGGACTTATCTGAGTGTCAGAAATTGTTCGCTTCTTAAATAACCCTGAGCAACCCCCTGGAGGAACCCCAGCATTTCTGGAACTCTGGCAGAAAAAGGCTGATCTAATTGGTCATCAAGCGGTCTTCTCCTGGAAAAGCTGTGACCTCTTGAGTCTTATGAGTTACTCATGACATAGAGTTCAACGCTCCTCCACCACAACAGTACCGTTCGTTGGGACTGGAGAATTTATTGGAAGTTTGTTCTCATGAACAAAGAGCGTATTGAAGGGGGAAAAGGAAGAGAAGCATCTGGTCTGGCTCCAAGGCCAGCTATTCAAGACATGTGAGGGTGGATATTAAGTAGCAGAGACATGTGTCAAGGTCACTGAAGGCCATTCAGATAACATAGTAAAAGATGACAGCAGCTTACTGAGGACAGCTATAAAGAGACACCTCACACCGGTTAACGGAACGTCCTGTCAGACAAGAAGACTTTGTATTTGGAACTAAAGAACTAGGTTAAAATTCCTAATGAACTCATTTTATCCTAACCTTACACACATTGTGTTTCCTCAGGAGCTCCTGAATACTTCTTAAAGTATTTTTTTTTTTGCCGGAGATGTTCACAGAGCAGGGGCGGACTGACCATTTGGAAACTCGGGCACTGCCCGAGGGCCCGGGGTCAGTAGGGGGCCCCATGAGATGCCCCTGGTACCTTTTTCATAGGCTTTTTTGAGTTTGGGCAAGGACACAGGGGCCCCATGATCCCCTATTGTCCGGGGGCCCCATCAGTTCACCCCTGTCCTGGAGTTTTTTTCTCCCAGGACTTGCGCTCCCCAGCTATCCCAGACTCTTACAAGGAGGCCCAATGACGTCATCCACATCTAGGCCAGTGCACCAAAAGTTGGGGTATGGGGTAAGTATTATTTTTTTTACATTTTTCTTCTAGTTTTTTTTTTAATTATTATTTTCACTGAGCATTGCATTTTTGGGGGTGCAACATAAGTGGACTTTGCATTTTTGTGTAAGGTCTGCTTATTCCCCTATGACAGGGGTGGGCAACTGCGGCCCTCCAGCTGTTGGTGAACTACAAGTCCCATCATGCCTCTGCCTTTGGGAGTCATGCTTGTAACTGTCAGTTTTGCAATGCCTCATGGGACTTGTAGTTCTACAACAGCTGGAGGGCCGCAGTTGCCCACCCCTGCCCTATGAGAATATTTTAACTAATCATTTCTTTTAAAAAAAATGAAAGTCCATTTTTAGTGAACAAAATTCCCTCCAGGTCAGCGATAAATGCTACAAGAAGGTAAGCAAAAACTTGTGCTAACCTGCTTCTGCTTGTTAGATACTGAGCCAAGCCACTGTGTAAAGTTGTCTGAAAGTGAGTGATATGTGGGAGGGTCGTCCAGCTATAATCACATCATCAGTCCCGGAGTCATAATAAGTCGCATCGCAATTCCTCAGCATTCCTTTAGACCCCATTCACGCTTGTGTGACTTCTCATATGACTTTGGACATCAAAGTCGTTTGACAAGTCTTACCCCAAGTTTTCCAATGATAACCATTCATATGTGCGACTATGTGCGACTTAAAGCGGAGTTCCACCAAAAAAAACTAAATAAAAGTCAGCAGCTACAAAAACTGTAGCTGCTGACTTTTAAAATACAGCCACTTACCTGTCCTTCAGTCCAGCGTTGTCCTCACCACCGCGGGTTTCACCGGTCGTCTTCTCTCCCTGGTGCCGGCATCTTCAGTGTGGGCACCCGGCTGCGACAGCTTGCGGCTTCACAGCTGAGTGCCCACTGCGCATGTGCGAGAAGCGCTGCGCTTTGTGAATGGCCCCATAGTCTTCTGGGACCTGTCACATGTCCCAGAAGACTACGGGGAGGGAGGGTAAGGGGACAACTTCCGCTTCCGATTGCCTAGGCGATTGCAGCGTAAGTGGGAGCGGGTACCTGTCAAATGCGGGTACCTGCTCCCCAAAGGTGCCAATCCTTAATGGGGAGCGGGGAACAAAGGCTTAAAGTGGAACTTCCCCTTTTGGGTGGAGCTCCGCTTTAAAGCGACATCAAAGTAGTTCATGTACTACTTTTGTCCGAGTTCCATGCAACCTAAGGGCTACAGATGTCAATGTTGACCCTTCAAAGTTGCATGAAAGTCATACCTGAATGTTTTACATGCAACGGTGGGTCCAACTTTGCGGAGGGATAAGTCACATCCAAGTCGCCCCCATCCAAAGTTGCATCAAAGTTGCACTTCAAAGTCACGCGACTACAGAGCCATTCAAGTGTGAATGGAGCCTAAATCATTCAGCATCTTTTTAGAGTATCTCACCAGGAAAAAAAAGTACCAACAAAGGACTTTTCTGGGAATACCTTAACAATTGAGTACTGTCCGTGATACTTTTTTTATTTGCACTAACAAACAATTTTGAGGACAAGCTTTCGGGGAGTGTCCCCTTCTTCAGGCAGTCCCCTTCTTCAGGTCCAAGCAGTACTCTGGGAATACCTTAAATGTGACCACCGGTTTTATGCAGACTTCATGGAGAAGAAATAAGCCAGTTACAGGTGCAGAGGGATAAAGATTAAGGGGACAACACAGACAAGGGGGCCCTCTTTGCGTCTGGAGGAGAAGAAATGTCATCTCCAAACACGGAAAGGTTTCTTCACAGTAAGAGCTGTGAGAATGTGGAATAGACTCCCTCAAGAGTTGGTTGTGGCCAGCTCAGTGGATTGCTGTAGGAAAGTCCTGGATTCTTTCTTGGATACACAGAATATAACTGGATATAACATTTATAGGGAAAGTTGATCCAGGGAATATCCGATTGCCTCTCGGGGGATTAGGAAGGAATTTGTTTCCCTGCAGGAGCAAATTGGATCGTGCTTTGCTGTTTTTTTTTGCCTTCCTCTGGATCAACTGTGGGTGTAGGATTATAACTTTTTTTTTTCCTATGGTTGAACTGTATGGACTTTTGTATTTTTTCAGCCAGGCTAACTATGTAACTATGTAAGGGAAATCCAATTTCTAAATTGCATAAGGTTGCCATGGTTGCGAGGAAGAGGATTCATAACAAATCCCTGCTGGCCTCCATCTGAAATTGCTATTTGTATGGCTATCCTTGGCTCCAATACATTTTGAGCTTGAACAAGCAGTCTGAGTAGACATGTGCATGTCGGAAATTTTCATTTCGTTTCGGATGCATTTGTTCATTGAAGAATTTAGTTTTGTCATTTTCATTAAACCAATTCATTTTTGGATTTAGTTTGGTATCTTCAGGATTTGTTTAATATATTCCTTGGTTTGGGTAGATTTGAAAAATTTTGCAGGGTTTTTTTTTTTTTTTAATATTGCTATATACACTATATTGTCAAAATTATTGGACCCACTCTCCATATCATGTGATTCAGGTGCTCCAATCCCCTCCATGGGCACAGGTGTATACAATCAAGCCCCTAGGCATGCAGACTGCTTCTACAAACATTGGTGAAAGAATGGGTCGCTCTCAGGAGCTCAGTGACTCCAAGCGTGGTCCCGTGATAGGTGGCCACCTGGGCAATAAGTCCATCCGTGACATTTCCTGGCTACTAAATATTCCACGCTCAACTGTTAGTGGGATTATAACAAAGTGGAAGCAACTGGGAACAACAGCAACTCAGCCACCAAGTGGTAGGCCACGTCACATGACAGGGCGGGGTCAGCGCATGCTGAAGCGCACAGTGCGCAGAAGTTGCCAACTGCTGCAGAGTCAATAGCTAAAGACCTCCAAACTTGGTGTGGCCTTCAGGTGAGCCCAACAATAGTGTGTAGAGAGCTTCATGGAATGGGTTTCCATGGCCGAGCAGCTGCATCCAAGCCTTACATCACCAAGTGCCATGCAAAGCGTCGGATGCCGTGGTGTAAAGCACGCCGCCACTGGACTCTAGAGCAGTGGAGATGTGTTCTCTGGAGTAACCAATCACGCTTCTCTGTCTGGTAATGGACGTGTCAGGGTTTGGCGGTTGCCAGGAGAATGGTACGTGCCTGACTGCATTGTGCCAAGTGTAAAGTTTGGTGGAGGGGGGACTGCGGGGGACCGAGGGACAGGTAAGTGGCTGTTTTTTAAAAGTGAGCAGCTACAGCTTTTGTAGCTGTTGACTTTTATTTTTTGACAGGTGAGTGGAACTCCGCTTTAAAGGTCTGCTGCTTCTTATTAATGGTCAAAAAAGCATTCCTAGAGCTGTGTAGATTTGGATATAGCAGTATATACAGTATAATAGCCATATAAACAGCTAGCAATGCCTCAAGAGCTCCGAGCTTTCTGTTCGCTTTATCAGTTTGAAATGCAGATTCACTCACCTGGTCAAAGAAACCATTCATGAGGGTCAGATGCTCTGTTGGGAAGGTGGCAAAAATCCAGCAGTGCCGTTGGGGCCCATTACATAGAGTTGGTCATTGGCGAAAAACCAGATGGCATCTGAAATCAAAACAGAAAGAAGATGGTTGCTTAATTCCTGAAAAAAATTTGAATCTGATGTTGGCTTCAAGCACTGAATTATAAACTTAACACGGACCTAAAATGAACTGAAATGCAAGGTCTGCTTATCACATACTGATCTACCCACCCTACTTTGTCAAAACGTCGTAATAAGCCTGTTGGTTAAAAACACCTCCGGGTAAAAATGATAAAATACTTGTACCTAACACCTGGCTTCTACCTGCAGGCAAGAGTAATGTCACAATCATTCTAATGAGATTCTCGGAAAGTTAAGTTTCCCAAATATTGTAAGAAAACTCTCCAGGACAGCATAGCTGGGTCCAAGGTCAGTCTTGTAACAGGGTGCAGGCCCTTTTAGGCCAAGGGTCTCACCATTGGGTGTCCCTTAGTCTAGGAGAGTAGATATGTAGGGTAGGAGGCTTAGGTGAGGAAGCAGCCCCTTTTCGTTAATGGGAGTTTCATTATTTTTCTGTGTTGGGACCCTCCAGAGGACATGATGTAGGGACAGGGCACCCTGGTATGCATTTGCCCACTGGGGGAGCACTAGGATGACTCCTGACTTGGAGGTAAGACTCATATAGAGGAAAGCTAGGATGACTATTGGCATGACCAGGGACGGACTGACAACTCATGGGGCCTCTGGGCAATAGGAAATCATGGGACCCCTATGTCCTCGCCCACACTCAAACCACACCCAAAAAAGCCTTTGAAAGGTACCAGGGGTATCTCATAAGGCCCCCTACTGACCCCGGGCCTTCGGGCAGTGCCTGACTGCCCCAAATGGTCCGTCCGTCACTGGGCATGACACTCTCTGGTCCCTCCCACTGATGTATGACTGTCACTGCCTTATCCATGTACATTAAAGTTCTTGCACTCTTCTAAAGCAAGCTTAGTGTGGGATACATTTATTCTGTTCTAAGGGGGACTATTCCTGGACCTGGGCTTGTGCCCAGAGCAGGGGCGGACTGACAACTCATGGGGTCCCCACGCAATAGGGGATCATGGGGCCCCTGTGTCTTTGCCCAAACTCAAAGCACACCCAAAAAAGCCTAGAAAAGGTACCAGGGGCATTTCATGGGGCCCCTTACTGATCCCGGGCCCTTGGGCAGGGCCCAAGTGCTTGAATGGTCAGTCTGCCCCTGGCCCAGAGATAAGGGGACAGGACTAGAGCTTGCAGGCTGATAGAGGTCTTGGATTCTCATCAAGACAAGTTGGGTTTCCTACAGGGTGGCTAAAACGGGGGGAAATCTGTTGATTAATTGTGGGCACCCTGGTGGGCCACATGCCAATGAACCACAGATGCCTTGTGGATTCCCCGAGCTGGGAGGAAAGAGTTAATATACAAAACTCCTGGTCCAGTTACATTTTCCAGGTATCTTTTTGATAAGGGTCGAGTAGGCATGTATGTAATACGCAGACCTTGCATTTTTCTTCACAAGGTTCCCCTGGTATGTAGGTAGTACAAGATCAGAATGTCAGGCTTTAAAAAATTTTCAGCAAAGGCCAGTCCCAACTTAAAGATGTTTATGGGTCTCCTTTAAATAAATATTGTCATTTCAAGAAAAAATTAGTATACATTTATATTATTACCAAACAACAAATAAAGGAGCGCTGCCAGCCCCGTAGAAGTCAATAGAGACACAAGCCAAGGAAAAGGTAAAATCAAAATTCACTTTAATGTAAAGTTAAAAGGCATGACTTGTAGGAGTGCCCAGACTGATACATTACCAAGCCCATGGAGAGCAGAAACAAATAATCCCAGAAGCTGAAGGATGACACATGATCCTGGACTCAACACTAGGTTACACCGACTAGGAGCCTCAGGACAGTGGAAACAGAAACGGATGTGATGTCATACACCTGGCAGCAGAGCGCCTGAAAGTTGGCTGGTGATGGCAAACTGAAAGTCTTGGACAGCACTCAAACTATGTCAAACCAAAGAGTCGTGTTTTGAGTGGTCTCCAACACTTCCAGTTGACCTCACCAGCCGACGTTTTCTTCTGCCAGGTGTATGACATTGCATCCGGATCCTGGGCACGTGACTTCCAGCAGATGTGCCATCTTAGTTACCCTGGTGGCCATAATCTACATGTTTCTCCTACTGTCCTGAGGCTCCTGGGCGGTGTAACTTACTGTTGGGTCCGGGATCATGTATCACCCTTCAACTTCTGGGATTATATGTTTCTCCTCTCCTTGGGCTTGGTGAAGTATCACTCTGGGCACTCCTACATGTTATGCCTTCTAACATCCCATTAAACTGAATTTTGATTTTATCTGTTCCTGGGCTTGAAGCTCTATTGACTTCCACAGGGCTGGGAGTGCTGCTTTATGTGTTTTGTGCTCATGTCTCATTGCTGGTCAGATGAATAGTTGGAGCTGCCCTTACTGTGGTTATCTACACATCCCCTTGGAAGCTCATTGAGCTTGGTACTTGCATTTGTTTTATACTATTAGCTCTCCAATGCATCCACTTCTTGCTTTGTTGCAGTGCTAGGGGTGCCAATATAATTCTTAGCATCCAATACTTCTGAGTGTGTCAAATGCCTATGTATCCCCACTACTCACTATGGCTCCCTTCCTCCTTCCCCAGCCAGTAAATCCCTAATGTGTCCCTACAGCTCTCTGAAGTGAAACTATTTATGTGGAGGAAAGGGGGAGCCACAGTGGTTTGGGGCGTGCAAGCGGTCAACATACCTGGAAGTATCAGGCTCCAAAAGTTCCTACAGAGACTGTTGTACCCAGGGGCGGACTGACAACTCATGGGGCCCCCGGGCAATAGGGGATCATGGGGCCCCTGTGTCCTTGCCCAAACTCAAACAAGCCTATGAAAAAGGTACCAGGGGCATCTCATGGGGCCCCCTACTGGCCCTGGGCCCTCGGGCAGTGCCCAGGTTTCCAAATGGTCAGTCCGCCCCTGGTTGTACCGCAGACTCCGCAACTACATAGACTGGACCCAACCAACAGAGGAGCTAATAGCGGGTATTACATTGTATAAAATGTATATTCCAATCAGGGGCAGACTGACAACTCATGGGGCCCCCGGGCAATAGGGGATCATGGAGCCCCTGTGTCCTTGCTCAAACTCAAAAAAGCCTATGAAAAAGGTACCAGGGGCATCTCATTGGGCCCCTACTGACACCGGGCCCTCGGGCAGTGCCCGAGTTTCCAAAATGGTCAGTCCGCCCCTGATTACAGTTACGAATTTCATGAAAACATTTTAAGGTACAATGTTTCTTTAAGTCTTGCCACAGTACAAAAATTGTCAGTTTGTTCTCTCTAACTGAAAGTCTAAACAGATGGATTTCTTCCTTTTTGGTTTCCTGTGTGGGATCAGCGCTGATCTCTCCGGTAAAAGACGTTTGTTAATGAAGTGTGAATTTCCTGTTCCTGACAAACACAAAATTTCTGAACTTTGCATAATGCAGAATGGGAGTCCAGGTTCTTCTGACCAGGATACAGTACTATTCTTTGTCTTTAGAAAATGCAACCCAAACATCATCATCCAGTTGGAGTTGCACTCATTGGGTAGTCTAAGTCAGTGTTTCTCAACCTTTTTTTTATGAATAATCTCAAGGCACCCCAATATAAAATGTGAAAAACTATTCTACACACATCCAGTACACCCCAACATTAGAGGCAAAATATTCTTCCAAAGCAAGTACACCTTTGCATACTGGTACCGACTAGTATTCCAGTGGGTCTCTCTCATTTTCTCTCCCTCACTCTGCAAATGTGACCCAAGTGCTGACAGAGAGGGGCAGGGGAGGGCCAACAAAAGATGATGTGCAGGCACCCGACGTCCTCCTTATCAACTGATGATGTCATTAGTTGTTAGGATGCTGGCAGCTAAAAAGTCATAAAAGTGCACAATGAAAACCTGTGGCTTTGTGTACTAGAAGGCAGGATTGATCCACCTGCTGGCTTGTATACAATTTTTGGGCATTTTGCCAAGGCACCCCTGATGAAGCCTGAAGGCACCCCTGAGGAAGTCTGAAGGCACCCCTGAGGAAGCCTGAAGGCACCCTGGTTGAGAAAGGCTGGTCTAATTCCAGAGCAGAAAGCTCCTTGACCTCTCGGTAGTGACAGATCATAGCTTTGTGTATATGGGGTTTTGTTCTACTTTTGTGGGTTGTGTGCTCAGGCCATGGGATTCCCAGGATTAATTTTTAAAATGTTTTATATATATATATATGTATATATATATATATATATATATATATATACAGAGAAAGAGAGAGATATATATACTGTATATATTTTATTGATTTATTTTCTTTATTACAGGTACTTATACAGCGCTGTCAATGGCCAATCAGTGATCACATGCAGAGTAGTAAGTGAGATGTCACTTGTAACATCATTGCTTACTACGTGTGAAATCTCTGTGAATGATCACAGAGATCACATGGTACAGGGCTATTCACAACAGCCTTGTACCATGTGACAAGCTGTGACCAATCACAGCTCACACAGTATTTCTCAATGGCTGCAAGAATGCAGCCAGAGAGAAGGAGGAATGATTGCTTTTACAGCCTTTATGGGTGTAAAAGCAATCAGTGTAAGAAAAAAATCTTCATCACCCCCCACAAGTAGTACAATGTCACCATGTACACCTGTACTGCTAGGGTGACAGTATGTAGAAAAAAACACATAAATAATAATATAAAAAAAAAAAATACATTTTAAAAAAAAGTTTAAAAATTATAAATTTTGGTTATAAACTAATTTGGCTTATTTTTTTTACTATAAAGACAACGGAATAATTTTTGACCAAGATTTATGATGAAATCTTATTTATTTGCAAAATTTTATAGGAAAAACACTTTTTTCTAAATTTTTTGGACTTTTTCATTTACATTGCAAAAAAAAAATAAAAATCCCAGTGGTGAATAAATACCACCAAAATAAAAGCTTTATCTGTCTCAAAAAAATGCTTACAAATTCATATGGGTACAGTGTTGCATGACCGTGCAATTGTTATTCAAAGTGTGATAGCGCTGAAAGCTGAAAATTGGCCTGGACAGGAAGGGGGGTGAAAGTGTCCGGACTGGAAGGGGGGGAAAGTGTCCGGACTGGAAGGGGGTGAAAGTGTCCGGACTGGAAGGGGGTGAAAGTGTCCGGACTGGAAGGGGGGGAAAGTGTCCGGACTGGAAGGGGGGGAAAGTGTCCAGACTGGAAGGGGGGAAAGTGTCCGGACTGGAAGGGGGGAAAGTGTCCGGACTGGAAGGGGGGAAAGTGTCCGGACTGGAAGGGGGGAAAGTGTCCGGACTGGAAGGGGGGGAAAGTGTCCGGACTGGAAGGGGGGGAAAGTGTCCGGACTGGAAGGGGGGGAAAGTGTCCGGACTGGAAGGGGGGAAAGTGTCCGGACTGGAAGGGGGGAAAGTGTCCGGACTGGAAGGGGGTGAAAGTGTCCGGACTGGAAGGGGGGGAAAGTGTCCGGACTGGAAGGGGGTGAAAGTGTCCAGACTGGAAGGGGGGAAAGTGTCCGGACTGGAAGGGGGGAAAGTGTCCGGACTGGAAGGGGGGGAAAGTGTCCGGACTGGAAGGGGGGAAAGTGTCCAGACTGGAAGGGGGTGAAAGTGTCCGGACTGGAAGGGGGGGAAAGTGTCCGGACTGGAAGGGGGGAAAGTGTCCGGACTGGAAGGGGGTGAAAGTGTCCGCACTGGAAGGGGGGAAAGTGTCCAGACAGGAAGGGGGGAAAGTGTCCGGACAGGAAGGGGGTGAAAGTGTCCGGACTGGAAGGGGGTGAAAGTGTCCGGACTGGAAGGGGGTGAAAGTGTCCGGACTGGAAGTGGTTAAAGGGTGCCAAGACATTTAAAACTATATAGACAACCGCAATTAAAGACTTTGTGGTATCAGATAATAGAAGGAATTACGGATGCTAAGAAATGTTTTGTCCTCCAGATAGCGTGGAGTTAACATATATTTATATGGAACAAGGATACGGGATTTTATATTGTTCTTCTGTTTGCACTTCATATCCATTAAGTCCTGTCAGTACCTTGGTCGGCTTCCAAGCAATGAAGGGACTGAAGTGAGTGTGTTTGTTGGAAGGTTTGGCGTAACCTGTTTTACAGGGTTGACGTCCAATTGGGACCCGTGACAAGAGGCTTCAAAATTGCCATCAGAAAGTTATTGTCATAACTTCCTGTTATGTTCCATGGAATATTTCATCCAGCGATACCCACCTCTTGGGTGGAATCCTTTCTATTTGGAAACATCAATTACGGATTTAGAGCGAACAACCTCAGTAAGCCTCTTATTAGCCCTTTGCACTTCTCTAATTGTGGGGAGTTTGTAAATTCGTCTTCCTGGATTTTCATGATGGGAAAATTGCTCATAAAACCGCCTCCCCTGACGTGTTCTACATTCAGAAAGGTGATTGTAAAAAAATTTAATAGGAAGTACTAGAATTAAAAGAAGTTATCCATCTAGTTTTTAAATCCCTATAAAATGTTACAAAGCCAACTGAGATGGACACGTAGCAGGTTCAGAACATCAGAAATAATGATGTCACCTCAACTTTGTCACATTTATTGGTCACTAAATACGTAATCAGAAGTTTGGTTGTTCCTCATGTTGAAGAAACGTTTTTTCTTTAACAGATGCAAAGTAGCCATAAGCAATCCTAAAGCGGACTTGAACGGAGGAACTGGTGCCCAAAAAAAGGCATTGAAGGTCAAAGGACTATTCACTGGTATTGCCTGAGGTCTACCGCCTACCGTTGTCATAGCCAGCAGGGGGATCCTTGCACTGCAGGTCCTCAGGTACGGTTTCCTCTTCAGCACAGTGTCTTTGTGTGGAAGCGGCCATGTTAGTATAGGCACGGAGCTTTGCTTCCTCATTTCAGAGCTGATGACTGGTGGGCTAATTATCAAGAAGCAACAGGGAAGATGGTGGAAGGACAATTCTACAGAATGGATGAAGCAGAAGCAGGGAGATCCTTGCACTGCAGGTTCTCAGGTACGGTTTCCTCTTCAGCACAGTGTCTTTGTGTGGAGGCGGCCATGTTGGTGTAGGCGCGGAGCTTTGCTTCCTCATTTCAGAGCTTCCCCCTGACGACTGGTGGGCTAATTATCAAGAAGCAACAGAGGAGATGGTGGAAACACAACTCTACAGAATGGATGAACCAGAAGCAGGGAGATCCTTGCACTGCAGGTATGGTTTCCTCTTCAGCACAGTGTCTTTGTGTGGAGGCGGCCATGTTGGTGTAGGCGCGGAGCTTTGCTTCCTCATTTCAGAGCTTCCCCCTGACGACTGGTGGGCTAATTATCAAGAAGCAACAGAGGAGATGGTGGAAACACAACTCTACAGAATGGATGAACCAGAAGCAGGGAGATCCTTGCACTGCAGGTATGGTTTCCTCTTCAGCACAGTGTGTTTGTGTGGAAGCGGCCATGTTGGTATAGGCACAGAGCTTTGCTTCCTCATTTCAGAGCTTCCCCCTGACGACTGGTGGGCTAATTATCAAGAAGCAACAGGGGAGATGGTGGAAGCAGAAATTTACAGAATGGATGAGGTAGAAGCAGGGAGATCCTTGCACTGCAGGTCCTCAGGTACAGTTTCCTCTTCAGCACCATGTCTTTGTGTGGAGGCGGCCATGTTTGGTATAGGCACGCAGCTTTGCTTCCTCATTTCAGAGCTTCCCCCACGACTGGTGGGCTAATTATCAAGAAGCAACAGGGAGATGGTGGAAACAACTCTACAGAATGGATGAAGCAGAAGCAGGGAGATCCTTGCACTGCAGGTCCAGGTTTTCCTCTTCAGCACAGTGTCTTTGTGTGGAAGCGGCCATGTTTGTGTAGGCACGGAGCTTTGTTTCCTCATTTCAGGAGCTGCCCGTTGACGACTGGTGGGCTAATTATCAAGAAGAAACATGGGAGATGGTGGAGGCACATCTCTACAGAATGGATGAAGCAGAAGCAGGGAGATCCTTACACTGCAGGTTCTCAGGTACGGTTTCCTCTTCAGCACCGTGTCTTTGTGTGGAAGCGGCCATGTTGGTATAGGCACGGAGCTTTGTTTCCTCATTTCAGAGCTGCCCCCTGACGACTGGTGGGCTAATTATCAAGAAGAAACATGGGAGATGGTGGAGGCACATCTCTACAGAATGGATGAAGCAGAAGCAGGGAGATCCTTGCACTGCAGGTTCTCAGGTACGGTTTCCTCTTCAGCACCGTGTCTTTGTGTGGAAGCGGCCATGTTGGTATAGGCAGGGAGCTTTGCTTCCTCATTTCAGAGCTGCCCCCTGACGACTGGTGGGCTAATTATCAAGAAGCAACAGGGAAGATGGTGGAAACACAACTCTACAGAATGGATGAACCATAGCTCCTATGATCTTCAACCAACATCCCTATCTGACAATAGGAGGCACTACACCCGGAGGCCCTGACATCTGTACTCTGGAGTCAACACCATCCTATTCTTTTAGACATTACAACTTGACCACGTAATTACTTTTCATCCAGAATGAAAATCATCTCACTGGTTTTTTTTCATGTGCATCATAGCACAATAAATATTAGACCCTTGAACTGTCACTGTCTTATTAAATATGAAAGTACTTTCTGGAGATCGACGATTTTTTTTATATTTTTTTGTGCTATGATATAAAAAAAAAAAATAGACTGACGATTTTGAAAACAAATATCTATATTTGACTTTTTGATATAAAACTTATCCAGTAAAAAAAATTTTAAAAACATGATATGGTTATGTAGGCAGTACATTTTTCAGTAAATCAAAATATTGTGGGATTTTTTTTGTGCTATGTTTTGTGCTATGAAAAAAAAAGACCGTCAATTTAGAAAAAAAATATATATATTTTTTTGAGTTTTTGCTATAAAACATATCCAGTAAAAAAAAAAATGTTAAAAATATGATATGGTTATGTATGTAGGCAGTACATTTTTCAGTAAATCAAAATATTGTGGGATTTTTTTTTTTTTTGTGCTATGAAAAAAAAAAAAACGACCGACAATTTTGAAAAAAAAAAATATATTTTTTGACTTTTTTTTTTATTTTTTGCTATAAAACATATCCAGTAAAAAAAAAAAATTAAAAACCATGATATGGTTATGTAGGCAGTACATTTTTCAGTAAATCAAAATATGGTGGGATTTTTTTATTTTTTGTGCTATGAAAAAAAAAAAAACGACCGACAATTTTGAAAAAAAAATATATATTTTTTTTTGTGAAATAAAATTAAAATATTGTGGGACTTTTATGCTATAAAACATATCCAATAAAAAAATATTTTAAAAACATGATATGGGTATGTAAGCTGTACATTTTGAACTAAATTAAAATATTGTGGGATTTTTTTATTTTTTTGTGCTATGAAAAAAAAAAAAAGGCAAACAATTTTGAAAAAAAATATATATTTTTGACTTTTTGCTATAAAACATATCCAGTAAAAAAATGTTAAAAATATTATATGGTTATGTAAGCAGTACATTTTTCAGTAAATCAAAATATGGTGGGATTTTTTTTATTTTTTGTGCTATGAAAAAAAAAAAACGACCGACAATTTTGAAAAAAAAAATATATTTTTGACTTTTTTTTTATAAAACATATCCAGCAAAAAAAATGTACCTACCATAATACAAGCCATACACGATGCCTGCTCCAAGGAAGGCACCTAGGGTCTGTGCGAAGGTGTATACAGGAAACTTGATCCACGGTTCCCGTGCTATGATACACAGGGCAAAGGTCACAGCTGGGTTCAAATGTCCACCTATAAATTAAAGGCGATACCAGAAAACACCATCATTATTATTTATGAGTTGACATGTAGCATGGTGTAAATATTTATATCTATTCAAGCTCAGCGCATTCTGTTTCTTTGCAAATATTTATGGCATGTACTCTGTTCCAGCCAGGGGCGGACTGACAACTCATGGGGCCCCTGGGCAATAGGGGATCATGGGGCCCCTGTGTCCTTGCCCAAACTCAAAAAAGCCTATGAAAAAGGTACCAGGGGCATCTCATGGGGCCCCCTACTGACCCCGGACCCCGAGCTTCCAAATGGTCAGTCCGCCCCTGGTTCCCGCCAATCGTATTTTAAAAGGGTTCAACCTCACCTGAAACTTGTCCGGCGATCAGAATACCCAGCATGACGGCAAAACCAAAAGCCAGATTAACAGTCAAGAACTGACCATGGGAGCCTTTACTAAGGACCACCTGAGCCACAGATCCACAGCCGAACATCTGCAGAGGAAGAAGAGGAGTTATTACAGGTTCAAGAAGAGACACCACTTGTATTTGCTAACCCAAATGCACATTATTATTATACACAGTACAAGAAATCATCTCAGGATGGACAAAAAGACATTCGAAAATGAAAAATGGCCTAAAAAAAACCTGCATGATCAAAGGATTTTTTTCTGGGAAAAGCTTCTTTTTAGAGGAAAGATCACTCCAATGGAAGTCGTCCAATCCTACAAAATGTTATGTCTCTAATTATTATTATTATTATTATACAGGATTTATATATTATTATTATTATTATACAGGATTTATATATTATTATTATACAGGATTTATATATTATTATTATTGTTAATAAACAGGATTTATTTTTTTATTATTATTATTATTATTATTATTATTATTAATAATAATAAACAGGATTTATATATATATTATTATTATAATACAGGATTTATATATTATTACTATACAGGATTTATAAATTATTATTATTATTATACAGGATTTATATATTATTATTATTATATAGGATTTATATATTATTATTATTATACAGGATTTATATTTTTTTATTATTATTATTAATAATAATAATAAACAGGATTTATATATATTATTATACAGGATTTGTATATTATTATTATACAGGATTTATATATTATTATTATTATTATGATTATTATTGTTAATAAACAGGATTTATTTATGATTATTATTATTTTTAATAATAAACAGGATTTATATATTATTATTATTATTATACAAGATTTATATATATTATTACTATACAGGATTTATATATTATTGTTATTATTATACAGGATTTATATATTATTATTATTAATAATAATAATAAACAGGATTTATATATTATTATTATTATGCAGGATTTATATATTATTATTAATAAACAGGATTTATATATTATTATTATTATTATTATACAGGATTTATATGGCGCCAACAGTTTGCTCAGTGCTTTACAATATAACGGGAGACAATACAGTTCAATACAAGAGGGATAGGAGGGCCCTGATCCTGGGAGCTTACAATCTAGGAGATGACAATAAACACCCGCCTCGGTTAGGTTGCTCAAGAAGAATACCTTTCTGTTCATGGCAAAAAAAGGGGCAATTTTCTTTTCTCCAAAATGTGTTTTGCTAATGCAATTTTATGGGTATACAGTGAAGGAAATGTGTATTTGCTCCCCGGCTGATGTTGAATGTTTGCCCCTCACACAGAAATGATCGGTCTAACAATCGAATGTTCGCTGTAACACTGAGAGACAGAATACAACAACAAATTCAGCAGAAATGCGTCTAACAAATGATGACTGATCTGCATGTTCATGAGGGAAAGAAGGATTTGATCCCCTTCACAAAACATGACTTAGTACTTGGTGGCCAATCCCTTGTTGGCAATCACAGAGGTCAGACGTTTCCTGGAGTTGGCCCCCAGGTTCGCACACATCTCAGGAGGGATTTTGGCCCACTCCTCTTGGCAGATCCTCTCCAAGTCATTAAGGTTTGGTGGCTGACGTTTGGCAACTTGAACTTTCAGCTCCCTCTGCAGATTTTCAATCGGATGAAGGTCTGGAGACTGGCTAGGCCACTCCAGGACCTTAATGTGCTTCTTCTTGAGCCGCTCCTTTGTTGCCTTGGCTGTGTGTTTTGGGTCATTGTCATGCTGGAACACCCATCTATGACCCATTTTCAATGCCCTGGCTGAGGGAAGAAGGCTCTCACCCAAGATTTGAGGGTACATTGCCCCGCCTATCGTCCCTTTGATGCGGTGCAGGTGTCCTGTCCCCTTAGCAGAAAAAACACCCCTAAAGCAGAATGTTTCCACCACCATGTATCACAGTTGGGATGGTGTTCTTGGGGTCATAGGCAGCATTCCTCCTCCTCCAAACATGGCAAGTTGAGTTAATGCCAAAGAGCTGGATTTTGGTCTCATCTGACCACAACACTTCCCACCAGTCCTCCTCTGCATCATTCAGATGTTCAGTGGCAGACTTCAGCCGGGCCTGGACATGTGCTTTCTTGAGCAGAGGGACCTTGCGGGCACTGCAGGATTTCAGTCCTTGTCGGCGTAGTGTGTTACCAATTGTTTTCTTGGTGACTGTGGTCCCAGCTGCCTGGAGATCATTGACAAGATCCTCACGTGTAGTTCTGGGATGATTCCTCACTGTTCTCATGATCATTGACACTCCACGAGGTGAGATCTTGCATGGTGCACCAGACCTAGGGAGACTGACACTTGTTTTGTGTTTCTTCCATTTGTGAATGATTGTACCAACTGTTGTCACCTTCTCACCAAGCTGCTTGGCCATAGTTTGGTAGCCCAGTCCAGCCTTGTGTAGGTCTACAATCTTGTCCCTGACATCCTTGGACAGCTCTTTGGTCTTTGCCATGGTGGAGAGTTTGGAATCTGATGGTTTGATTGCTCCTGTGGACAGGTGTCTTTTATACAGGTAACACAATGAGATTAGCAGCACTCCCTTTAAGAGACTGCTTCTAATCTCAGCTTGTTACCTGTATGAGAGACACCTGGTAGCCAGAAATCCTGCTGAATGATAGGGGATCAAATCCTTCTTTCCCTCATGAACATGCAGATCAGTCATCATTTGTTAGACGCATTTCTGCTGAATTTGTTGTTGTATTCTGTCTCTCAGTGTTACAATACACCTACCCAGGGGCGGACTGACCATTTGAAAACTCGGGCACTGCCCAAGGGCCCGGGGTCAGTAGGTGCCCCTGGTACTTTTTTCATAGGCTTTTTTGAGTTTGGGCAAGGACACAGGGGCCCCATGATCCCTTATTGTCCGGGGGCCCCATGAGTTGTCAGTCTGCCCCTGCACCTACCATTCGATTTTTAGACCGATCATTTCTGGGTGAGGGGCAAACATTCAATATCAGCCGGGGAGCAAATACACATTTCCTTCACTGTATGTCCATTTTAACCCTCTGTATAAATATGTATGTTTCTGTTTTCTGAATCCTACTCTGAAGACAAAGCATTGGCGCTCCACACCATCCAAATACAAAACATATCCAGTAAAAAAAAGTAATAAAAAACATGATATGGTTATGTAGGCAGCACATTTTTCAGTAAATTAAAATATTGTGGGATTTTTAATTTTTTTGTTTTATTATTGGTCCATTATTGCAATTCAAAAAAAAAAAATATATATATATTTTTTTTTTTGTTTTTGTTTTGTTTATTGCCTATTGACCATCAGTATCTAGTTACACCATGAAAGGTTGATTTGATTGTTATATTGTTATAGGCTGCTCATTTGTTTGAAAGCAATCATTCATGTGGAAATTATTTTGTGTGTATATATATATATATATTTTTTTTTTTTTTATTATTATTATTATTATTATTATTTATGTATTTATTTTTAGAAGTAAGCTGATGTTTGCGAAATAATTTACTTTTTTTTTTTTTTTTTCTCCCTCTCTTCCTTATCTTGACATTAGCTACACAACAGGCTCTTACTTTACTGATGATATATTCTAAACTTTCCATCCCTTTCAGAACTAGTTGTTCAATAAACATCATTTCTGCAAAGACTTGTACTGAGATCCATCCTGACTCCTCCTACCATCTAATACAAGGATAAGAGCCTCTCTGTATTGTTTTATTCTGATTATTAACCCCTCGCCCTCCATAGGCTCCCCCCCCCCCCCCTTCCCTTCCTTCCTGACCAGGCCATTTTTTGTAATACGGCGCTGCCAGGGGCGGACTGACAACTCATGGGGCCCTCGGGCAATAGGGGATCATGGGGCCCCTGTGTCCTTGCCCAAACTCAAAAAAGCCTATGAAAAAGGTACCAGGGGCATCTCATGGGGCCCCCTATTGACCCCGGGCCCTCAGGCAGTGCCCGAGTTTCCAAATGGTCAGTCCGCCCCGGGCGCTGCTTTATTTTGACTGACAATTGCGCGGTCATGCAACGCTGCACCCAAAGGTCCTTTTTTCCTACAAATAGAGCTTTCCTCAGTGGTATTTGATCACCTCTGCGGTTTTTATTTTTTGTGCTATAAAAAAAAAAGACCAAAAAAATATATATTTTTGACTTTTTGCTATAATAAAAATCTTACAAATCAAATTTCGTCATAAATTTGGGCCAAAATATATTCTGCTCCATGTCTTTACTATAAAAAAAAAAATATCCCAATACATGTAAATTAATTGGTTTAAGTGAAAGTTATAGCGTCTACAAATGGCGGTATAGATACTGGCTTTTTTTTTTTTTTTTTTTTTAATAATACTAGTAATGGGCAGCGATTACTTACAGCAGAACTGCAGCTGGCATTCTGACACTTGGGGGGGGGGGGGGGGGGACTGACTAACTGCCTCTGACAGCAATGCAGTGATCAGTGGGCAGGAGAGGGGTTAATGTCTGGGGCCATCAAAGGGTTAACTGTGTGCTGTTTTCCTGTGTGAGCACACTGCTTTGCATGGCTGTGCTATGCAGAGCCATGCAAAGCAGTGTGCTGGTGCTGACAGGCGAGAGATCTTTATTGTTTACATACAGGTCTCTCCCCCATCAGTGTTCTTCGGTGATCGCCGGGTGCCGGTGGGTAATCTCCAGCTGGGACCCGGCGATCGACAGTTGTAGCCGCCAATAGCGCCCCCTACCTGGAAATAAAAATCAGATATATATACGTGATTTTGAGCAGCCCTGCCCCCCCTGTAGCAGTACTTCTACTATGGGGCGGTGGGGAAGCGGTTAATGGCTCTGGCCTTTCTGTAATGTATATTTTTGGCTTTGATTATACTAGAACACGCTGTTCTTGTTGTTTTTTTGTTTCTCTAAAACTTGAATAAACGTCTTGAAATGAATTGACTTTTTTTTTTCTGTTTTAGCGCACTTACGTATAGGTTTGATAATAAGGCAGCGGGCAGCCCTGTACACACAGAGGATCTGGAGGATTCCGATATTAGGGGAACGTTTATCTGCTGCTAACATCTGTCATATGTAATACTTCGCAGAT